ACAGGTTCCTGAGGCTTTGCTTATATTTTTTTCAGTGTTTTCTCTCATTATTCACAATAGATAATTTCTTTTTTTTTTTTTTTTTTTTGTACTGAGGATAGAACTGGGGTCCTTTGTGCTTGGGAGGCAGGCAGCGGAACCACTGACCTAAATCCCCAGCCCACAACAGATCATTTCTATTTTCCTGTCTTCCAGTTCTCTAATTCTTTCCCCTTTTATCTGCGATCTATTGTTAAGATCATCCATTGGCCAACCTTTTAAGTTTAATCGCTGTATTTTTCAGTTCTAAAATTTCCACTTGTTTCTTCCTGACATCTTTTTTCTTTCCTGGGATTTTATATTTCTTTGCTGATGGCCTCCTCCCCTCCCCCATTTGTTTCCAGCATGTGTGTAATTGATCATTAAAACATTTTTTATGATGCCTTAGAATCGATCATTTTAAGATCTTTGTCCTCTCACTTCTGGCATGTATGGATTGTCTTGTTGCATTTGTTTAGCAATCTTCTGGGCTCTTGGTGTGATAGATTTTCAACTGAAACCTGGACACTTTCATATTATTTTACAAAACTCTTGGTCTTAGTTATGCTTTCTGTTTTAGCTAGCTTTCTCTGACATCCTTTCCGAGAAATGATGAGGAAAGGTAGCATGCTGTCTCATTATCAAGAGTCAGTAATGGGCCGGGATGTAGCTCAGTGGTTCCACCGCCTGCCCTGCAAGTGCAAGGACCTGAGTTTGATCCCCAGTACCAAAAACAAAGTCAGTAGTGAGCAGGGGGTGTAGCTCAGTGGTGCCACACCTGACTGGCAAGCACAAGGTCCTGAGTTCGATCCCCAGTACCACAAAAAAAAAAAAGGCATCAACAGAAATCTAGTTTTCCCTCTCAGCCATCACTGACACTTGAGGCAAGAACTCCTCAGTACTGCTAAGTGGGAATGGAAGTTCCAATTCCCCACATGGTTTCCACTGATACCTTGGTTGAGGTCACCTCATTACCACTAGGTGATGGTCTAAGTCTTGACTCTTTAAAGAGACTTTCTCTAGAAGGTGCCTCATTGCTGCTGGGTGGAATTGGAAATTCAGGTTCCTCATGTGATCTCCACAGACGCTCTTGGAGAAAGGGCTTATTACTGAGCATTGAGGATAAAGGCTGTTGTGCTTTACTCAGCCTCCCCTAATACCACATCAGAGAAATGTTGGTGTGCTTTGTTACATTATTGTGAGGGTAAAAGTCTACACTCCCTACTTGGCCTTTGGTGGCATTGTTGAGGTTGGGCCATGTTTTTTTCTATGGTGGTCAGCTGTAGTACAGGCATCATTGTCCAACAGCATTTTGTCTGGTAGGCTGCTGATCCTTCGGCTAGAGGGAGCAAGTGCTTTTTGTTTGTTCATTTTATCTGGATCCACTGGCATTCTCAGACTGCCCACTTCCTTAGCTCCAAGTCCAGATATGTCACTGAAGGAACTTACCAAAGGATTGTGACTTGGTCCCTTAGATCCCTTGCTGGTTTCCTTCTCTCTATTTTTCAGTTTTCTTATTTTTTTTTACATATAATCCTCAAGGTTTTTATTGTACTTAATGGAATAAGTAGGGAAAAGTACATTTATTCCATCTACCTGGAAGCAGAAATGTTACTGGCTTACCATTTACAATTTCACCACATTAAAAACAAAAACACTGTAACACTGTAGAATATATGATGTGAATAGGAAGCACAGGACTGGCTTTTTGTTGCTGATATTTTACAAATTATTGAAAATGCCTTGTTTAAGTAAATGCTGGGTCCTTGACATGTATCACTAAGTTATCCTTTGGAGAGGACTCTGTGTAGTTGACCCTGGTCCTGACCATTTTTAGAACTCTTTTAGACTTAATTTTAGAGAATGAATCATATTCCTTTGAATATTATCAGTAGCATAAAGTGTCATCCTGTGAGACTGCGTTTGATTTTTTTGGAAGTAAGCCCTAGTCATTCAGAAGCTAAGATGGGTGGTAAAACAGATGACCAAATTGGGTAATATAACAGACTCCTCAGTCTAACACTCTTTCTAAAAGAACAGCATGAACCAAGGCATCTTTATAGTGACAGAGCCATTTCTTTCATGTCACACAAAACCTCCCAAATGCTTAACAATTTCCCCTAATAAGCCTGAGTAGCTGTGAGATGAATTTCGCACATACAGTATCATGTGATATCAAATCAACATGTATTTTCTCTGGTTTTGAATAATATGATTTGAGTCCGGTGGATATTGGAGTTTTTCCCTGTAAACTTTTAATTATTTTGGGTCAACTTGAAAACATCATATTCCACCACTGTTCTCCCAAATATGTGTTATTTTGTCCAACTTCCCCTTGAAAGTTCCAAATAAATGTCAGATATTCTCTATTTCTTTCTATCATTCAAAATGTGTAGCACGGTTTTCTCAGGAACCTCTATGTTTAAATTCCCCTTCAGTGTGAGTCAGTATCACAGTGCTAGAGCTCTGCCTGAACAAATCCGGCCTCCAGAATTTTCTACATTTTTCATCAGTCCTGTGTACTTCATAGTACCGTCCTTACTACATTTTCTTACGCTTTTACACCATTCAAAACAAAACTTTCTTTTTTCAGTCCTTGAGCACCATATTTTTCCCTCTAGGTATCTTATACCATTTGTTTAGTTTACATGAATTTTAGTATTAATTCTTTGCTTCCCTCAGTTGTCATCCTCCACCCCCACACATCACAACCGGTAGGTAGCCCAAGAGACTGAAAGAGCCACTCCTGTTGCTGTAAACAAAATCTCTTTGCAGAATGTTCCTTCCAGGTCTGCTTTCTGTTTTGCCAAGCCATCAGAGAACAGAGCCTCATTACTCCATAGGAATGGACAGATCACTAACTACAAAACCATCACCCTATTTGCCTGGCTGTAAAGCTTGAAGTCATGAACCTAGCATCTAACACAGTTGATAGACTTAGTTTCCCAAGGAGGGAAATTCAAGACCTACTAAAGAAATGGAATGTATCCTCCCTCAACACTGATCCTTTGTTCCTTTTCAATTCACAGTTTAACTATTAGAGGAGTGTACTGATTTGGGGGGAGATGGTCGCAATATAATGCAGTATTTAAGAGCATGACCTCTGATAGACAGCCTTGGTTCAAATGTTGGATCTGCCACGTTACCAGTCCTATAAATTCCTTAGGAAAGTCACTGAACCTCTCCCAACTTTAGCTTCTTCCTCAATAAATCAGATATAATAATTACTTGATAATGCTGTTGTAAAGATTAAAGAAGGTAATATGTATGAGGTATTTCAGTACACTGTTCAGAACCAAGTGTTTAGTTGGTAGCTATTATTTACTAAATGCAGTTACTATCCCAGTCATTAAAAACAGTCAGTAGGATATGCAGCTTTCTCTCAAAGAATTCAAAATCCATATAATTCTAAACTCAAATAGTCCCATCAGTAGAAAAAGAAGTCTAAAGGCGTTTATAGCCCTATAATGCAGAGAATTAGGTATTCACCTTGGAGAGACCTTCTCTGGATTAATCAACAAAGGAATCATTAAGTAGTCATTATTGATTTTCTTGTGTGAATTATATATCAAGGCACCAAAGCTCTGTTCCGGTTTCCTTCTGAGTTCTCTGGGTATAAAAATGTTTTGTTTATCTATGTGATCACTTTCAATTAAGCTGACAGTCTCCCTGCCTCCTACTGGTTGAAGCACTGACTGAAGACCCATTAATATTCACCAGTGGTGGTACAAAGCACGTGTAAGTGTAGAAATCAATGGACTGCATGGTAGCTACTCACTCCCAGCTCCTCCAATGAGAGGAGATTATTTTCTCTAACTGCGTAACTAGGGGTGCTAGTGAGTTCATTCAGAATACAACAGCTCAGAGTCCGATACTGGCTTTATCATGGCTTCCCTTCTACCAAACAAGAGAACACAAAATTCCATGGAAGCAGGAGAAAAATCAAATTTGCAGTAAGGAAAAACTTAACCAGAACCTTGTTCAGTCGTCCACAATGGCTGAAAAACTTGTAATTTCTCTTTCATGTAGATTTCTAAGAGAATAGGCACAGTAGAGAAGGAAGCATTTGCCCTTCATGAGGTTATCTCGGTTGTGTTCATGAGGTAATTGTTTTATGATCATAGCTGAAGTGTGGTAGACACTGTTGGACAGATAATTGTTTCCTTACGGCGCTTGTGTAGACTGACACTCTTTGAGGAAACTTTTCCTCCTGTTTCTCTGTTTTCCTTTTTCTTTTCTTTTTTTTTTTTTTTTTTTTTTTTTTGGTACCAGGGATCAAATTCGGGTCCTTGCGCTTGCAGGGCAGGCGGTGGAACCACTGAGCTCAATCCGCGGCCCTCTCTGTTTTCTGATATTGCTCTTTAAGATCCTCAGAGTAATTAAAGGAATGCTACTGACTGCAGATACTCACGGGAATTTGTCACATGATTAATTTTTAATATAATTTAAAGATTCTGAGAGCCATACGCTTGATTTAATAATGCAAAACATTAATAAGCATTGGTTATGCTCCCCCGAACAAGCTCACTCTGTACTTGTGTACATAAAACTCGATTCTTTTGCTTCAGAGTTAGGAAACAGGTTTTATCATTTCCCCCTCGTGTTATTTATAGTGTATATCTCTGTTATTTTTCAAAATAAAATGTCAGCTAGCGCTCCACTGTATTTTCGAGTTATGGCTGCTTCCTCTTCTTGAGATTTTTCACGGTGCACTTTGTTCCCTTACAAATAGGGCTTTAAATAATCTTTAGCCAGCCACCAGATGACTACAAATATATTTAATGCTACCTCACTCGAATATTAACGTTTTCACAAAAATGCAGTCTTGAGACCCTCACAGTTTCTTCATTGTCCCTCCCAGCTGCGACTGGAAGCCCAAGCGTCCCACTTTCCCCAGAGGTACTCCAGCCAGACGCGTTTTCTACTTTAATCACACCCTCGGGCACCAGGAGCCTTTGCCTGACACATTATCTTCTCCACAGGCAGGCAGCCACATCCAGACTTTGATGGGTTCCCAGAGCCTTCAGCATCGCAGCCGGGAGCAGCAGCCATTCGAGGGGAACATAAACAAAGTGACCATCCAGCAGTTTCAGTCACCATTGCCTATTCAGATCCCCTCCTCGCAGGCCACACGGGGACCACAGCCTGGACGGTGCTTAATTCAGACTAAAGGGCAAAGGAGTATGGATGGATACCCAGAGCAGGTGAGAAGAGTCTGAGAAAATAATGAATTCTGAGGAGATTTTTTTTAAAGATCCATGGTTTGCCTTCCTTGCTTAATGTCTTCCAGGACATATGAAACTGTCATCCTGTTGAATGCAATGAAACACTCTTTGTAGAAATGTTATCATTATTTTCAATAGCGAAGGGCTGTCACACATAGGAATTTAGAGTTGGCAAAATACCCTTTTCATATGAAGGAAAAATGATGGGTCAGAGTGACTTTTCCAGTGCTGTCCTAGGCCGCCACTTGCAGCTCCAGTTCAGCTGCTTTTCAGGTCACAGACAGCTCAGTGGATCAGGGCTATTGACCAAGGCCTCTGGTGAGGCTGACAACCCAAAAGGTGCTGTTATTTCCCTCTATTTGGGAGAAATAGAGCATTTTTTAAAATCCTATCTTCTGGTTGTTGAACAGTACAGAGATAAAGCTTTGCTATGCAGAAAAGTATGAAGAACAATTAGACGAGGAATGTTTCTGAAATGCTCCAAAAGCTACTGATAAATGCCACGTACCAGAAGTCTAGCTGCTCTTCTGGCCTATCTGAAATTAGGATTTGCTTTTCCATTGTAGAATCTGTTTTTCTTCCCTAGGACCAGAAAACGGAATGAAATCTCATCTAGTGAGTTATATAAAGCTTAGAAAGTAAAACATTGAGATCTGAACATTCTCATAAATGAATTTCTCTTATTCCCTCCTCCAGATAACTAGGCAAAGCTCCCATTGACTTCACTACCTTCTTAGTGTGGCTTCAAGGGTTTCGTTTTATTATTGATTACTCAGATCTGTATATATCACCCTACCTTGTTGTATTTTCTAAATAGATCAGTCAAGATTAACTTTATTCTCCAGTTTTTTCTTTGCATTAAGAGCCCCTTATCATTTGGATCCCAGCTGCTTTAAACATTGCCTCTATTTTTTAATACCTGTCTTGCAACTAAAATTATGTAATAATCATTCTCCAAATCTCAGATAATTTTTTTCAAAATAATTTTCTTCCTCACCTTCCCTGATCTAGGCCAGGGGTTGGATTTAATGTGCAATAAACCAGGCAGGAACCTTTAATCATATAATGATGTGAGGTTTTTAATTCTCCAGAGATTGTAAGAAGTTAATAAAATTTTAAATCATGCTTTACCAAAAAAAAAAAGCACACTGGGAGGTTAAAAAGTGTATATCCACTACCACACATATAACATAACCTTAGCCCAGTTCTCTGGTTTAGGTACTGTATTCCCTTTAGTAGCTACATGATTTTTTTTTCCTCCCAGAATCAAGAAATTAAAAATCCACTGAGGTCAGTGCCCTGTTTTCATCTACTTTGAATTACAAGTTCAGTTTTAACAAGCAGTTATTCTGAATACAAAGTGCACAATTTGTATAAAATTTAACTAGTGAGACGTTTACACGTGAATTAAGCCTGAAACATCATGATTCTTTCCAAGAATGTACTTATAGTAGCTTTCAGGTGTGTTGCTTCATAGCACTGATAACATCGGCTGCCTTTCAAACTGAGAGACAAAATTGTAAGCATGCGGTGGCTGTGGATTTGGCTACATTTCCTTTTGCCTTTTTTGCCTTTTTCCTATCTGCCTTGATTTCAGGCTGAAGTGTTTTAGAAGACTGAGATAAAAACTTTGGATGACTACAAAAAGCCTAAAGGTCTTTAAACACTAGTCTTGGTTCCAAAAGTATGCTCCTCCCACCACTCAGTTACAAATCTTGAGGCAGTTTGTTAAAACTTACTTCAGGTTCCAGTGTAACATTCGTCAACTACCGGCTGGGGCATGCTGGAGCTGGCTCATTCCGGCCCGTTACTATGCATGTCTCTTCCCAACTCCATCTTGAGTGACATCCCACCAGAAGGTTGACATTGTGGGAAAGTTACATCAGCAAAATAGGCAAATATTACAAACCAGGGTACTGCCCCATCCCCAACCAGCTGCTCAACATGCTTCGGTACATCACTTTCTACTGCATGGTTTTCTCATTTTTTGCTTTTCCTGATCTCTCCACTTCTTCTTTTAACCCTGTATTCTTCAAGAAAGCAAATAGGAGGACTAGGTTTTAAAATATGAAGTCTTAATTGTGTGTTTACTTTGCTTTTACTTGGCATGTGTCCTGGCTGAGTTATTGTCTCCTGAGGTCCTGTCTTTCTCTTTAAAATGAAAACGTTACCACCTGCAAACATCATTTTAAAAAGTATTCGTGAGAGTCCGGTGATACAGATTTACACACACACACACACACACACACACACACAGAGTAAGCCTGCCATTGAAATGAAATGAGATAAAAATAGAAGAAACGGGAATATAAAATTTTGAAAAATAAAATTTTTGGAAGGAACTTAATGCTTATTGGTTCCAACCTTCTTAGTCAACATATGGGGGGAAGAAACCAGAAGCATAAAAAGAGGCTTTAATTTTCATGTGAAACACCACATAACCTCCTCACTATCTATGTTTTCATTCTTTCCTGCTCCTCCTATCTTCCCCTTCACAATATGATAATTTGTCGGCTCTTCTAAATCTCGCCTGGTACACAGGGTCTGTTCAGGGGCTTTAAAAGGACAGATGCCCTGGCCTCCCTCCCACCCCAACTGATTTGTATCTGACCTGGTAATGAGCATTTTTGAAACTTCCCAGTTGACTGTTATGCGGCCATGGTTGAGAACCACTGCTTTAGATACTCAGTAGCTGAACAACTTTCTAGCCAAATAATGTACTATCACTATTTAGCAACATCTATAAATCAAATATTTTTAAGGAACCCAAAAGCTTGGTTTTTCCTTATGCAATTATATAATCCAAGGAAGATTATATATGCAGAACATATAGATGCCAGTGCAGAAATGAGAAGGAAAAACAGCAGCATGATGCTTCAAACCTCCAAAACCTTTTCATGGGTTAACTGAGCTCACTGATAATACCTTGATACAGGTGAACCAGTTTCTATTTTATTGACCTGGAAACTAAAACTAAGAGAAGTTAGTGTCTTGGCCATGGTTAGTGGCAAAACAGTTGAGAAGCCGAGCAGGATTGGAGCCAGGCTCTCGAGTCTACCACATGACAGTCTGGAGCCAAACGTGCTGGTGCAGCTGCACTGGCTGAGAATAAGTGCACACTGTGACAGGAGCGTAGAGCAGCTTAGAGCCACCTCTGCCCATGCGTTCCACCATGCACACGACTTACACACTCACTGTGCAGAACCCATGGCGTGAATTACACATGAATTATAAATTCAGAGCTGCCCTGGAGAAGTTTGATGACTGTAGAATAAGACTCTTTGGGCAAGATATTTACAAATAGCAATGGTGTAAGAGGGGCAGTACAAGGTAGAGGATGTCCCTGGAGTCATTTGAGTAAATAGCATACACTGAAACCACCTCGGGCCTATTTTCTATCTATCTTAGTTAAAGTACTGCCTTTTTATTTAAAATCTATATTGTACTAACATGTATTAGTTGCACATATTAATGAGCTTCTGTGTGATATTGCAATATATGTACACATATATACAGTACATACAATATATACATCTATACCTGTACATGTATGTATACATGTATATATTCATATATACTATATATTGCAATACATATATTGCATATACACGTATACAATACCTATATTGTAATATATGTATATGCAGTGTATACACATATGTTGCAGTGACCAAATAATGAGTCCCTTCACACCCCTTTCCTGTCCCCATTTCCCATCCTCTACTCTAGTAATCCCTGTTCTACATTCAGGTTGAGTGCAGGTTCAGGTTAATATCCACACAGAAGAGAGAACATGTAGTACTTTTTTCCCTATGTCTAGCTTATTTCACTTAATATAAGGGCCTCCACCTCCATCCGTTTTGCTGCAAGATTTCATTCTTATTAAGGGGTGAATATTCCATTATATAAGTGAATAATATTCATATATGCATATATGCAGCATATATATATGTCATAGTGTCTTTTGGGGGGTGCTGGGGATCGAACTCAGGACCTTGAGCTTGTGAGGCAGGCAGCAGAACTACTGAGCTAAATCCCCGGCCCATGTCATAATGTCTTTATCCACTCATCCTTTGGTTCCATATTTTAGCTACTGTGAATAGTGCCACAATAAACATGGGAATACAAGTATCTCCTCGGTATCCTGATGTCATTTCCTTTGGATGTACTTATACCCTGAAAGGGGATAGCTGGATCAAATCAGAGATCCGTGTTTTGTTTTTTCAGGAACCTCCACATTGTTCTCCATAATGTTGTACTAAAGTGCAATCCCACCAGCATTGTTTTTTTCTCTACATTTTCATCAGCACTTATTTTTCAATTTTTTGATAATAGCCCTTCTAACTGGGGTGAGATGATACCCTATTGTGATGTTGAAAACTCTGTAATTTAATAAAACATGAAGCTTTCGTCTTATATCCCCCACCATGCTGTAGTTTTCTTTGGTTGCTTCCAGTAGATGAAAACCTCCTGAGAATCTTAGGCAGCTCAGAGCACCCGATTTAAAGAAGCGTCTGGAATCAGTGTTCTCAGCCAAGTGCTCAGGCAACCCCTGTATTACTGAGTCCTGGGGCGACTTCCGGTGTGGAGAACGACAGCCAGAGTCACCGTGGCTTCTTCCTGTTTTCTCTGCATGCTCTCCACAGATGACCTTGTTACTTCCAGGCCGCATGACTTTAAAATCTCTCCCCATTTTACATTATCGATTATTGTACCTACAATGTACCTATAAGAAAATTAAAAAAAAAAAAAATCTCTCCCCAGCCCCGAACTCTCTCCTGCACTCCAGATGTTCGAACGCAGTTAGCTACTTATTGACAGCCCACCCTGGGCGACCAGTGAACATTGCACGCCCAGAAGGGACTGGCCCTGCCCTTGCTCCAACCAAGCCTGCTTCTCTCCCAGACTCCCCATTTCCTTCATTCTACTCACCCTTCTGCTAAGACCGAAACTCCTTGGTTTCCCTTTCTTGCAGCCCACGTCGATCCAAAACAATTCAATTCAATCGAAGTGTATCTCGGACCCTCCCTCTCTCCTGGCTCCACTGCCAGCTTGTTGGACATGACCCAATCCCTCATTATTTCCAAAAACACTTAATTACTTTTCTCCCAGTTCATTTCCCTTCCACGGCCAGATTTATCTTTTCAAAACGTAACTCATATCATTTCACTGTTAGGCTTAAAACGCTCCAGTGGCTTCCAAATTTCTGAATAAATTGTTAATCCTTATCATATGGCCCAGTGTCCTTCCAGCACTGTGAAGCCACGTCAAAAAAAAAAAAAAAAGCATAGTCTTCTGCAGACTGTAGATTACGACCTTCAGGGCCTCCCTGGGACGCCCCAATCCCTTTTATCAGGAAACGCCTCTAAAACAAGGCCCGGTGTTAGGGGAAGATGGACACTGATCAGAAGTATCTAGAAACTGAAATGATTTGGGCAGAGTGTGAAAGAAACAGCGGTACCAATGCTTCACTGTCGCTAATGTTTTCAGCCCGAGATTTCCTTCTTGGTAGTGAGGCTCTTAGGAGAAAAGTGAAACCTTCATTCTCCTTAAATAAGCTATTTGTCAGACTCCTACATTTGACCTTCTGCTGGGATGCTGCCTGTCCCCTGCTAGTCCTCTTTGATTTCAGGCCGCTTTCCGGCTGGGAGGTACTCTCTCCTCTTATGTTTTACGGCCTCTCCGGGCCTGGAAGGCAGGTGGAACTCCTTTTAGGTGAGATGAATACTGTCCCTGACATGCTTTATGAGACCCGATAGTCACACATAGCCTGTTAGCCATGCCTTAGCATGCCCAGGAGTATTCTAGCTTCTGATCAGAATTTATGTTTGTTTGTCACATCTATAAAACCATGGTGTCATCTTTATTATTTCTATTATTAAAAAATATATTGAGACAGTTCTTCAAATATTGGGCACATATGAATTTTTTTTCCTTAGATTTTCAGTGCCTCCCAGATTTACAATAATATAAAACAGATATAGTCACTACTGTGAAAAAGAATAACTGGATCTTACTCTTGGCAATTTTGTGTGTAAATGAAATCTGTTGTATTTATTTCCTTTCCATTTTTATAGTGGCTTACGGAGAGCTCAAAGTGCACATACCTTCTACATGTTATGGAATAGGAAATATTCATTTTGGAAAGATAGAACCAAATTTTAAACAATTTGTTTAGAAATGAATACACGAAAGAAAAATGTTATAATGATATTGGTCAGATTTCTTCTCATTTTCCAATTAATAAATAATAACAAAACGTAAACTAATATATTGAATAAAGCTAAAATATTCCTTCCACCCCATCAAGCTGTTATTGGTCCATACCCATAGACTGTGAGCTATATAAATATAACCTGTTATAAACTGTGCTTTCTACTACCTTAGAAAAACTAGTTTTAACAAATCTAGCTCATTTGAAGGAAAAAGTGTAATTAAATGTATCTTTAAAATAAAAATATGGGACCGGTGATTTAGCTCAGTGGTTCCATGCCTGCCTTGCAAGTGCAAGGTCCCAAGTTCAATCCCCAATACCCAATAAATAAATAGATAAATAAATAAATAAATAAATAAAATGGAAAAGTATTTTGGTCATTGCATTAACCCATAATTTGCAAACTGCTCATTAATGAGTCTACTATAAAAATTACATTTGTGAACAGTGTATTCTCCCTTTGTCGTTAGTGAACTATGTCATGGTTAAAGATTATTTTTACTACGATGAAATATGACAGTGAATTCAGAATGGTCACATCAAGCAGAAAAATCTAACTGATTTAAGTTCCAGTGTCTCTCAGTGTTTACTCATTAAGCCAGGAATAAGACTCCAGTTTACCTTGGAATATCTAAGAGGCAGTGATTAACGGTACCTTGAAAATAAAAACAGGCTTTCAGGTAGGCACCTGAGGTCATGCTGTCGCACCTCACCTGCAGAGCCAGCGTTTTTGCCACAGCCCAGGATTACCGCAAAGTCTTAGGTTTCTACAGCTTCTCTACCTCATCCCTGACTCTGCTTTCCTTCTTGGCCTATGCTCTGTATTAACTGTAAGAGTTGCTGGCACTTGCGTGCCCAGGTGGACCTTACTGCCAATGCCATCATTCCTGCCATGCTGTAAAACACCAGTGCTTGTGGCTAAGAGACTTTAGTGGTGGTTTGGGGTATGGGAGAGGTAATATAACCCAGAACATTAGAACACCAGTCCTCAGTGGCTGGAGCATGTATTTGCCATTCACTGCCACAAACATTCTTGACCTCTTTCTCTGAGCTCTTCATGATGTTCAGTTTCTTCTAAGACTCCTAAGTCCTGGCCCAGGACCTGCTGTCAAACTCTGTTCACCAAACAATTCATTAGTCCTAGTTTCCCCCTCATTCCGGCGATGCCTCCTTCTCAAGCTAAACACTATGCTCGTCAAACAATACAATCATTTACCAAGAGGATCAGTTGTTCCACCCTACCAGAAAGCAGAAGTGTTTTCTATAGACAACCCTATTTTCCCTCTGCATGTGAGAACTTTCTTGCACTGATTCAACCATCCTTTCCTATTAGTCTGAATTCAGGTGCCTTTCTGGTAGTGAGCTAAGATAATGTTCCTAAGACTGGATTTTGGGGACCTGCTAATCAAGATTCAGTCCTGCAGATGGTCACAAACAAGCACTCACCAATGTTCGCTTGCTCAGGTAATTTCACATAGAGAAACACTGAACATTTTGTTAGAGTTTATCCTGTTTCCATATGCTAGATCAACATAAGCTAATCTATACGAAATGTGAATCTGTTCTGTGGGGGATCAAGTTATTTGAAAATATTTCATTTTGATAGCTATTTGATTACTTTTTAAATATCTTTTTTACATAGTTTTGTGTGAGAATAGAAAAGAACCCTGGCCTTGGATTTAGTATCAGTGGCGGAATTAGTGGACAAGGGAATCCATTCAAACCTTCTGACAAGGTAAGAAATGAATTTCTTCTTGGCAACTTTAATTTTCAATACTGTCCTCACTGATAATAAAGGTCAGAAAAACCTTTGCATCACAAAAATAAATAAATACAAGTGAGAAAACAGTTTTCTGTTTTTACAGTGCTTTAAAAATGAGCTAGCTCACTATAATGCCAATTGAAACATTTTTCAATAAGAGAAAGAAGAATCTGCTATAGTGCTTGACAAATACTAAGAAGAAAAAATATATATTTAAGCATTCTGTTTGAAAGGAAAAGGAGTGTTCTGGCTATTTTTAGTGGTCTGTTTCTTTCTTTCACGCTTGTATATATTTGTAAAGAAAGGCAATTTCTAACAAGCTGTTTCCCAAGGTTTACCAATAAATCACTTATTTATTATTTAGAAGAATGTTTTCTTCACAGTAACAAATGATTCCATAGTAATTTGACGGCAGGCTGACACCTGACTGACAGCTCATTAGGCTTGTAAAGAATTTCATTAATAGAACTGTGGAACTGTAAAACCCCTGCAAACAAGTCTTTTGGGGGAGATCAGAGCTAGCGTTAGCAGGAGAAGCAAGTTTTTCTCCCATGCTTGATAAAGGGACCAACTCTAACCTCAACCGTTGCCTGGATGTCCAAAGTGGGACCCATGCTCAGTGCAGCCTACTGGATCCCAGAAGGGAGCAGCTAACTTTCAATTTTTATAAATGTACCCCGATCTTTGTAACCTGCCCTGCTACCAACAATGTTTCTCTCCGATTTAAATCAATTAGTAATTATAATGTAACGATAATTGAAATGATCTTCTTTTGACCTCATCAGACTTAAGTACTATATTAAATGACACCCTAAAACTGTGAAGTGATGAAGAGAATTGGGAATTGCAGTTGAATAAAACCTCCATCAGCTCTCCACTGACCTTTGAATCACAACTTGGTCCCGATTCTTTCGATTCATCACTATCCTAAAAATAACCCACAGGTCAAATTCTAGTTATGAAACCTGATTCTGAAAAAAAAAAATTGGAGATTTCTGAAGCCTGAAATAAAAACATTAATCCCATGTTTTCCTAAACTTCCCTCCAGTCATCTTGTTTCTCACGTTTTTCCTGCTCTTCTTGCTTTACCTGTTCAAGGACAGAAGAGGTTGGACCAAAGGGAGGAACTGTTCACACTGTTACATACGTAGAAAGGAGAGGGCTGGAGAACCCCCAGTGGCCATGGTGGTCATCATTTAGAAACGGACACCAGAGCACTACTGATATATAAAATCTGTGCACAGGGTAGCCCTACATAATGCCCATGAAACTAGGAGAAGGTCAGTTTGAAACATCTGCAGCCGTTGCTCCTCCTTTTGAACTGATGTTAAGAATAACCACTGATAGAGAAGAATTAAAATATTCATTGTGGGTTTTGAACCCATGGCCTTTCCCCTGAACTACATCCCCACCCCTTTACACTCAGTTCATTTTTAAGACAGGGTCTCACTAAGTCCTCAAATTGCACAGGCTGGACTCAAATCTGTGACCCTCCCACCTGAGCCTCCCAGTGTGCTAGGATTACAGGTGTGTGCCACCATGCCTAGCCAGTGATGCTATTTTTTTTTAACCTCAAATCGTTTTGCTTTATTCAACTTGATCCCTCTTTTGGGGCCTAGTTTTACATACCATCTATCAATTTTCAAGGAAAAGTTAATAATCTGATCATTCTTAAGGTAGTTGAAATTCAAAGGGTATGTTTTTCTTTCCTTTCTCACTGACATATAAGTTTTTCACTATATTTTTGGAAGATACAGGATAATATTTTTAAATTAAGGATGTGTAGATTGCTAAGTAGTGATGTCAGAATACTGTTGCATTTCTGTTTTTTACTTGCATTAGTACGTTTGCAGTACATAATAATTGCATTCATAGTAGAAAGTTGGTACACATACATAACACATCTTAATTCTTTTTATTTCCCCTTCTCCTCTCTTCCATTCCCCTCCATTCATTTCTAGTTCCCCTTCCCCTCTGCAAAGATCTGTCTCTCTGTTTCCTATGACCTATCTTTTATTTTTCTCTTTCAATTATTCATACTTTAGGTTTCTTATATAAGAGAAACCTTGTGATATTTAGGCTTATGTGTCTTTTGCAGGAAACTGAATCTGAGGTGTTCAAATCATTGCCTATAATTCTTCCACTATGATGAAGATGAACAATTTCTATTGCTTTAATTTCTCATTTGTAACATTTTGATGAGTCTAGTGAGACTGAACTACGTCTGATCTTATAATTCGCTCTTAGGGTTCAATGTTCCAGACTTCGGGCTTGAATAATGTGTCCATTGAAAGATTTCCCCTCAAAAGCACTTTTCTTTGGCTGATTACTCTAAAGCACTTTGCAGTGTGAAAAGTGAATCTCTATTATTGTAAAACCAATGAGAGTCACCAGAATTTCCAAATCTATGGAAGAATCACAGTACTTCTCAATTCATGGACCACTTTTGCGCCTTGCCAAGCATATGGTAGATACTTGGTAATGGTATTCGGAGGCTCTGAAGACTTCCGCCTTGAGAGTTTACACCAAAATTTAGTCAACTCACAAGGAAAGGAATCAGTCTCTTAGAAATCCAGCTGCATTCCTTTAGCCTTAGTGCCTCATTCTTATAGTGGTTACATAAACTTTAGCATAAAACCCAATGCATGTGCCTACCTCAAAATACCAACAGTAAGAAAATGAAAATTAGCTAAAATGCTCCTCTTTTGTTGAAGACAGGTTGTACTTTTCATGAGTTGGCTAATTTATAGCTGGAAGTGAGAAGAAACAAATTAAACAGATGCTTAAATTCAACAGATTCTAGCAGAGTTGGAAATAGAACCTCTCCAAAAGTCAAGCCATGCAAAAGTGTAAACTACACTACAACACATACTCTCTTCCAAGGAACAAATCCTGGACTGGCACTCTTCTCAGAAGCACACACTAGTAACTCACTTAGTGGTCATAAGTGCTTCAATGTTTTGCCACTCAAAGTTTTAAGCATACAAGAACATCTGAATATCTTAGAGGCATGGAGGACTGTCTTCATTAAAGTAACAGACAAATGTGTTCTGTTTCCTTCATTATTGTTGATGGGAGCCATTGTTTCAGCCAGAGGCCAAAGAGCAGTGTGAAAGAGCGTCCGAGCTGATGACAGCTGGGTGGCGAAGGCCTCAGGTTGGCACCTAAAAGGCTGAGTAAAGGCTACAGCAAAGGGAGCCATATTGCTCGGTCTGGTAGAAGGTCCCAAAATCTTGTTTGCCACAGATCAGCTGGATGACCCTTGGCGAGCGATGGGATAGTATGCAATTAATGCTCTGGGACAGTATGCAATTCTGCAGAAAAGCACTGCAACTACCCAAAAGTTAACTGCAGCTTCAGGGAGGACACAGGGTTAAGCCCCATATGGAAAATTGTGTTACTCAAGACTTTCATATTTTCAAATAGCATCTAGTAGCTAACTTAACTCCTCTCCAGGACCCAAGGTAGTCCTCATCCTTGGATTAAAAGAATACATACAGTGACTCCTCCAGTTAATATTGTCAGAACAACACGTAGTTGTTGAAAAGACCAACTCACTCAGCATGGGGCTCATCACCAAATGTAAACTGCTTTTACGTACTTGGAAAGAGAAAGCCACTCAACACTGTATAGAAATGGCCCTGCAGAATGCTCGCCTGGGACCTCTCGAGGTCATGGGTCAAAGCCATGATCTAGTTTATCACAATAGAGAAACACTGCTGTCCATGTGGCAAGACGCTATAGAGAGAGAATGATTTTGCTCCAAAAAATGGATAAGAAAGCGATAAAGATAACAGCCTTTCTTATTATCTCCAATGTTCTGGGCACTGTGTTGTCCTCTTTATATGCATGAACTTTTGTCATCTTCATAGCAACTTCTGTTAGTTGAGTAGTAGTATTTTTCTCCATTTTACTGAGTCCCAGAGGGGTTAATTAATTTGCCCAAGGTCATTTAGCTGATCTGTGGCAAACAAGATTTGAAACCAAATTGATCAGACTCCAAATTCTTTTCTTTTAATAAGCACTATCATGCATGCCTCTATCCACAAATGCCCCTTAGTGGAAGAGCCACATGACAAATTTATACCCTGTAGAGTTGAGACTAATATGATATTCTAATATTGAAAGTATTACAGAGCTCTCTAATTAGTCATAGTCTACATATTTGCTTCAACAAGTCCTTGCAAGTCAGCATGTATTCTCTATTGAACCTAGATAATTAGAAGCCTGCTTTGTGAAGTAGATTGCTAAGCAGTTATACAACTTATGGGCTAAGGTATCATTGCAAGACTGATTCTGCCATTGGCACAGGCAGCAATATCCATTGTATTTAAACATTCATAGCATCATAATTTATGGCTTTAAAATTCAAGGAATTTACCAATATCATTTCCTCAGGATGCTGTTAAAGAGAAAAAACACTAGATTAATAGATGACAGACACCATGCTGTTGCAGTATTTCATAAAAGAACCCAGGACTCTGCGAATGAAAGAACTTTTAATGATGCATTCAGAGCTCATCATTCAGGAGCTAATATCTTTCCTTGCTCCATTTGAGGAAATAAGGACTAAGTGCCTAGATTTTAAAGCCATTAAAGAAGACTCATAGCTTTTTTCCCCATGTACTACAAAAGTATTACCCTTACAAATTCCCATAAATAACTATCCAGTCATAGGATCACAATGAAAGTTATTATTATGGATCCATCCTCCCCTTAAAGGACTTGAGGGTGGAAATGTATATACTGAGGCACTGGGGCCATGAATACCTCATTCTCCAAAATTTGTCATGAACACCTAAGTTCAGTGGATCCCAGAGAGCTCACCCATATTTCTACCAGGCTGGGCATTCTGGATGTCGCTACAGAAATCATAGGAGAAACATCTGTGCTCCTTTTCAAATGTTTTAATTAGCCTACGGCACAGGCAAAATTTTGAGTCCCATAACAAATATTGGAAGTATGGAAAATAT